CTAAAACCGTCTTGGGGCCAGCGAAAACAAAGCTTTCATGAGATACGTCAGTTTTCCTTGGAAAGATTCCGCGAAATATCCTCAGATTCTTCTGCTCATCTTTCACCATATCGACTAAATTGGGTGCAAAATGGACAGGGACGTTTGTGGGTCAGGTCAAATATGAAAACAGAAATGTCATAAATCAAAATTAAGGCCAGACTGAGGCAAAAGCAATAAGTGACGCAACCTTGGTCCCTCATGCATTCCATGATATACAAGGCAAAGATGAGTATTCCATTGAGAGGAATTTTAGTGCATCAAGAACTAGTGTCAGAGATTACTTGACTCACCACAAAAAGTCGCTCCCTTGTACAAAAGTTTAGTTCCTCTCCAAAAGCGAAAAGACTGATCGTCGATATCAAAAGTCGCCTATTTTTAGGAAATGTGGATGAATACAATGCGCAAAGAAAACTGCTTTATCACTGTGTCAATGTGAGTCAAAGAGCTAGGTCTGCCTGGGATTAGCCCATGCAATTCTCATTCGAGATGTCAAACTTGAGTCTACATACTCAGACAGTACATAGGGATTTACCGTAGAGTTGTCGCTTGCTCCTCCAACAGCGAAATCAACCTTAAACCAGGTCATGTTTTTGACGAAACGTGAGAGAGGAAACGACGTCCACAGATCAACTTCACCTACCACAAACAACAGTGTGGTGAATAAGACGATGCTCAGTCTGAGTACCAATTGGTTTCATTGTGAATAGGTGCACATTTTGCCCAAATGCCACAATTGGTGAATACACTAGAGGAGCCACCCACGTGTAAAATGGCCATGCCGATGAGAAGGCAAGTAAACGAGCAATCCAGTTATGCATACAAGTACGGAAGTAATCACCTAAGCACTTCTTATACCAGACACTCAAATCGAGGAGCGGTGCTAATTTTGGGATATTCTGATCTCATCCACCCGTGTTTTAGTTTAATTTCCATCTCCTTCCATCACCTTTGATAGGATGGACTGATATTAGTTACCTGAAGCGGGTGCAGTAAAATCGCAACGTGGTACAAAAAATGTTGTTGAAGCCACTCTGGGACGAGGGGTTTCCTCATCCATCTCCATGACTTTTGTGCAGTCACGTCTTTCAGAGTGATGCTGACATGATCTACAAGAGGTACAAGCTCAAATGAGGAAGAGAAGTTGCACAAAATTTATTACTCTGCTCTTCACAGCAATTTCATTGGAAACTAACTCGAGTCATTTAAAGCCCATCGTACTAGCATTGGCTGCTTGCATTTCAAAACATTGAAGATATTTTGACAATGATAACTCCACCACGGAATGATTTGTGGGGGTAGGTGGATGGAGCAAATTGTGTAGGTACAAGAGCCTCCCTCACACCACTTATTTAGCTTGATCTAGAAGAGCCAATTTGGAGGTGACAACTTCACACGCTGTTTCACAGTAAAATGCTGACATTTTGGCATCACATCAAATTGCAGTATATTTCTCTGGGGCATTAGTGAAGCGGAGTTGAGGCAAGTTAAAGGAAATTGACGTACCTGACCCCCTCTTACAGGGACTGCCCCAAGAATATACATCTCTGAGGACACATTTGTCACCTCGAATTGACAATAAGCCCAGTACGGTTTCATTAATGAGAACCGTTCTCTAAATGCAAAAGGTGGACATGCGAATTTGTTGCATTACTATCCATACGTTAGCATTCACAAGTTACAGGTGAAATAGCTCAATAGTAGCTGCAACAAATGAATTGGTACTCAATGATAACGCTTTTTGAAAGTCCACTTTACAATGAATATGCGTATATGTACGAATGCTACCACGTCACAGAACGTACAAATTTGTCGTTGTACTCGTAATGCATTGTGTCCGAAGGTCCCGACTTCTTCCCTATAACTCGTGAACCCCACATCTTTGGGGCACTTTCACCTATGAAAGAGAAGAAATTTACCTTTATCGCAGCATGTTGGTATTAATCAAGAGAAACATTGAAGGAATGAGAATGGGAATGTCCACTGAGTAAATGTGGTTGTACTTCATTGAGTCAACACCCGTACTGCTGAGCCGTGACAACCCAGAGAGCTGCATTTTGGCACTGTCTTATTACGTCACTTCTACTTAAACACTGCATCGGCAGGGTGCTTCAGGTAATTTTGCTCCCTTCTTCTATGGGTCCTCATGCATGCATGAGTGCATACCAAGTTGTCGTGTCAAACTACGACTCAGGCAAACTGACAGCCCAATTGATTTTACCAGGGACTTAACAACTAATGTCACATCTACTGTTACACTTGACGAAAGATGGCCCATCGCCAAAGTCTAATTTGTCGAAGGCATAAAGTTGAAGAACAAAGGGACATTGTAGAGAAAGGAATAAGTGAGAGCCAAGAAACGTTACCGTACCTGAAGTAGAGGCGATGAAAATGAGCACAGCAATAATCGTCAACATAATACCCACCCAATACACTTGAAGCGATTTGTGTGTTCTTATATACACCTCGCTTCAAATTGCATCAATAGGATTGGTTGATTTGGTGAAGTTGCAGTTTCAGTTGAGAGTAGGAGAACCTTCAATGTCAACCACATGATGATCCGCCCTGCTTGCACAATGGCTGCAGAGGGCGAAGTTCAGCGATGATAGTGAATTTACGCGACAGCATCTAACTCCTTTTGACATTCAAATGGGCGTTATCAATGCAAGAATGGGCTATTTGAATTACGACTCTGGTGTAGCAGAACTCAAGTTAATTTTCCATTGCATAAGCATGTACAATCAAAGTTAAACAGCAATAGGTGCATGAGAGACTGAGGGACATTTGGGCATCACCATAATGCTGAAGATAGTGTTTTCATATTAGCCATACACCTCGTTTTATTCTGATGATCTGATCAGCTAACCACATCTGGAATATGGAGTTGGGCATTCATAACTCCAACAATAGTAGCCATGCTTGAGGCCAGAGGAAAAGGCTAAGGCTTACAATGGGCTACTTTAAGTGATCTTGCTTCATCATGACTTATTTTTCATCAATACATTTTGACATACTGCACAGACGCCAACTAACTTGAAGGCATGCCTAAGCATCACTGCTAACGACAAAGTTATGTTAACCTCTTAGGCAGTTACGAATTTGGCACTGTAGGCGGTTGACTAATGATATTGCGAGCCTTTTCCATCGCATGTTGACTACGGGGATACGTGCAAATATTATATTTCGCCTACTCACAGTCAAATTCGTCTTCGTGAAGAACACATTGGTTTGTACAAATAGGGTCCTTTGCACTGCTACCTGCAATTGCTGAGGATTATCAGTATGCCCAGCATTGAATTGCATTTGGATCGAAACGTGAGGGTATAAATGGTGTTTCAAGTGCAATAAAATAATCCACTATGAAAGAATTCTTTAATTGAGGCAATGAATAAATGAAGAGATTTAGGGATTGGCAAAATGTCAGGTCTTTGAAAAATAAATTAGAACTGTGGAGATTGAGGAACCTGCCTTGTCACATAATTCTTGTCAAGAGGATGCTACTACCACTAGGAATTAGAAAATTACTCTTTATAAATCCAACCAACTCATATTTCTGTATGCCACTGAGGTCTCACTAGTTCCGCTACAAAAAATGCTCCAAATCCAATATTTACACTTGTCTCATTGTTATTTTCTTGTCATAAGCATATTCACCGTGGCGGTTGCCAGAAGTTGTTTACGCACTTGCACAATACACGCACCCACTCACCAAAAATCTGCCAATGGATAGTGTGGTAAGGAGCACTTTCTCCTTCGACCTAATCAATTGCCCCATTCTCAGATTTGGCATGCGATTCCTCTGTATCTTACCAAAGTTCGGTTGGACTCAGCTGCAAACATTTTTCATGGATGCATTAGCAGCCAATTCGACATAATTCGAAGTGATATTAGACGAAAAACTCAAATGATATGGGCAAGATAATGGAACCGGTACTTCACCAGGAGATAACAAAGCCGAATGCTTGACAGCGAAAGTTATGGCGTTGAAATAATGCCTTGTCTGGCATTCCGGGTTGTTCCCGTAGTCGTGATCTCATGCTTCATTAATAGTTGTAGGATCCCGCTTTTCTGAATAAAGACCATTGTTATCGTTTTGTAATAACAGCGTTCTCTGGATAATGTAAGTTACAAATGACCACCTTGTCATTGCCTCAAGTAAAATACGCACTTGGTGCCTTCGAAAATACCATATTTGCAATTCTTACCCAATAATGGGATGGACAGGGACGTTTGTGGGTCAGGTCAAATATGAAAACAGAAATGTCATAAATCAAAATTAAGGCCAGACTGAGGCAAAAGCAATAAGTGACGCAACCTTGGTCCCTCATGCATTCCATGATATACAAGGCAAAGATGAGTATTCCATTGAGAGGAATTTTAGTGCATCAAGAACTAGTGTCAGAGATTACTTGACTCACCACAAAAAGTCGCTCCCTTGTACAAAAGTTTAGTTCCTCTCCAAAAGCGAAAAGACTGATCGTCGATATCAAAAGTCGCCTATTTTTAGGAAATGTGGATGAATACAATGCGCAAAGAAAACTGCTTTATCACTGTGTCAATGTGAGTCAAAGAGCTAGGTCTGCCTGGGATTAGCCCATGCAATTCTCATTCGAGATGTCAAACTTGAGTCTACATACTCAGACAGTACATAGGGATTTACCGTAGAGTTGTCGCTTGCTCCTCCAACAGCGAAATCAACCTTAAACCAGGTCATGTTTTTGACGAAACGTGAGAGAGGAAACGACGTCCACAGATCAACTTCACCTACCACAAACAACAGTGTGGTGAATAAGACGATGCTCAGTCTGAGTACCAATTGGTTTCATTGTGAATAGGTGCACATTTTGCCCAAATGCCACAATTGGTGAATACACTAGAGGAGCCACCCACGTGTAAAATGGCCATGCCGATGAGAAGGCAAGTAAACGAGCAATCCAGTTATGCATACAAGTACGGAAGTAATCACCTAAGCACTTCTTATACCAGACACTCAAATCGAGGAGCGGTGCTAATTTTGGGATATTCTGATCTCATCCACCCGTGTTTTAGTTTAATTTCCATCTCCTTCCATCACCTTTGATAGGATGGACTGATATTAGTTACCTGAAGCGGGTGCAGTAAAATCGCAACGTGGTACAAAAAATGTTGTTGAAGCCACTCTGGGACGAGGGGTTTCCTCATCCATCTCCATGACTTTTGTGCAGTCACGTCTTTCAGAGTGATGCTGACATGATCTACAAGAGGTACAAGCTCAAATGAGGAAGAGAAGTTGCACAAAATTTATTACTCTGCTCTTCACAGCAATTTCATTGGAAACTAACTCGAGTCATTTAAAGCCCATCGTACTAGCATTGGCTGCTTGCATTTCAAAACATTGAAGATATTTTGACAATGATAACTCCACCACGGAATGATTTGTGGGGGTAGGTGGATGGAGCAAATTGTGTAGGTACAAGAGCCTCCCTCACACCACTTATTTAGCTTGATCTAGAAGAGCCAATTTGGAGGTGACAACTTCACACGCTGTTTCACAGTAAAATGCTGACATTTTGGCATCACATCAAATTGCAGTATATTTCTCTGGGGCATTAGTGAAGCGGAGTTGAGGCAAGTTAAAGGAAATTGACGTACCTGACCCCCTCTTACAGGGACTGCCCCAAGAATATACATCTCTGAGGACACATTTGTCACCTCGAATTGACAATAAGCCCAGTACGGTTTCATTAATGAGAACCGTTCTCTAAATGCAAAAGGTGGACATGCGAATTTGTTGCATTACTATCCATACGTTAGCATTCACAAGTTACAGGTGAAATAGCTCAATAGTAGCTGCAACAAATGAATTGGTACTCAATGATAACGCTTTTTGAAAGTCCACTTTACAATGAATATGCGTATATGTACGAATGCTACCACGTCACAGAACGTACAAATTTGTCGTTGTACTCGTAATGCATTGTGTCCGAAGGTCCCGACTTCTTCCCTATAACTCGTGAACCCCACATCTTTGGGGCACTTTCACCTATGAAAGAGAAGAAATTTACCTTTATCGCAGCATGTTGGTATTAATCAAGAGAAACATTGAAGGAATGAGAATGGGAATGTCCACTGAGTAAATGTGGTTGTACTTCATTGAGTCAACACCCGTACTGCTGAGCCGTGACAACCCAGAGAGCTGCATTTTGGCACTGTCTTATTACGTCACTTCTACTTAAACACTGCATCGGCAGGGTGCTTCAGGTAATTTTGCTCCCTTCTTCTATGGGTCCTCATGCATGCATGAGTGCATACCAAGTTGTCGTGTCAAACTACGACTCAGGCAAACTGACAGCCCAATTGATTTTACCAGGGACTTAACAACTAATGTCACATCTACTGTTACACTTGACGAAAGATGGCCCATCGCCAAAGTCTAATTTGTCGAAGGCATAAAGTTGAAGAACAAAGGGACATTGTAGAGAAAGGAATAAGTGAGAGCCAAGAAACGTTACCGTACCTGAAGTAGAGGCGATGAAAATGAGCACAGCAATAATCGTCAACATAATACCCACCCAATACACTTGAAGCGATTTGTGTGTTCTTATATACACCTCGCTTCAAATTGCATCAATAGGATTGGTTGATTTGGTGAAGTTGCAGTTTCAGTTGAGAGTAGGAGAACCTTCAATGTCAACCACATGATGATCCGCCCTGCTTGCACAATGGCTGCAGAGGGCGAAGTTCAGCGATGATAGTGAATTTACGCGACAGCATCTAACTCCTTTTGACATTCAAATGGGCGTTATCAATGCAAGAATGGGCTATTTGAATTACGACTCTGGTGTAGCAGAACTCAAGTTAATTTTCCATTGCATAAGCATGTACAATCAAAGTTAAACAGCAATAGGTGCATGAGAGACTGAGGGACATTTGGGCATCACCATAATGCTGAAGATAGTGTTTTCATATTAGCCATACACCTCGTTTTATTCTGATGATCTGATCAGCTAACCACATCTGGAATATGGAGTTGGGCATTCATAACTCCAACAATAGTAGCCATGCTTGAGGCCAGAGGAAAAGGCTAAGGCTTACAATGGGCTACTTTAAGTGATCTTGCTTCATCATGACTTATTTTTCATCAATACATTTTGACATACTGCACAGACGCCAACTAACTTGAAGGCATGCCTAAGCATCACTGCTAACGACAAAGTTATGTTAACCTCTTAGGCAGTTACGAATTTGGCACTGTAGGCGGTTGACTAATGATATTGCGAGCCTTTTCCATCGCATGTTGACTACGGGGATACGTGCAAATATTATATTTCGCCTACTCACAGTCAAATTCGTCTTCGTGAAGAACACATTGGTTTGTACAAATAGGGTCCTTTGCACTGCTACCTGCAATTGCTGAGGATTATCAGTATGCCCAGCA